GGTGCGAATGGGGGGGGTGGAGATTAGGGGGTTCGTGGAGGTAGCGGGCGACGTCACGTGTAGTGGGAAAGTGAAGATATATTGCTCGGAAAAGGGCATGGTGAGATTGGGGGGCAAGGTGGGTGGGAAGGCCGGGTGTGTTGTGGAAGGGGATTTGGTGGTTGAGTAAGTCTACGGCGTCCCTCTCTTTTCTTCCTTGCACATTTTGGGGTTTGGAGGAAAGGAAGTTGGCAGGCCGGAGTTTTACTTACTGACTGACTTGTGATTATAGGAAGGATTTTGATGTCAAGGGGAATCTGACTTTGGAAGGTAGTCTGCATGTCAAGGGTGATTTGGAAGTAAATGGATCGGTGTCGATGAAGAAAGGCTCTCAGTTGGTCGTTGATGGGAAGAGGACGATTCATGGCAGCTTAAAAGAGATTTAAGATACCCCTGACACGCTCAAAGTCCTGGAATTATAGGCTTTGCCTCAGGAGCTTGAAGTCTCCCTTTTCCCTCTTTAACTGTGCATGCATATAAAGTAATAAGGAGTTGAAGATGAGGCTAATATGAGTACCAGGTAGTGCAGAGATGTGAATTTTTATTTTAAGCGCCTTTTCTCTCCCAGCTCCTAATCCAAATTGAGCTGGCTGGGCATATCCAGATCCAGTCTTGCAGCATACAGTCGCTCCAATTGTACCAAGTATACATAACATATATACAAAACGAGCCAAAAACATGATTCAATAGCATTAAAAAGGTAGATGAACAGAAAGTTTATCCTTCTTTCTTTCATGAATTCGTTTCATCATCGTCGGCGCGAGGATCCAACATCTTTCCGTATCCCAAAGCCACTGAGGGCCAGCCGCCGTCCGATATTGCCAAAGCAGACACAGGAGCAGAACAGTACGGATAGAACCCAGATGGCGCCTTCGATGTTTTCTCGGCTGATGTTGATGTACCCGCCGAGGTCCATGCCCATAACGTTCAAGTCTGCTCGATTTTGTGAGTGGTGCGCCGAGGTCGAGTTTGCGCTTGGGACTGGGCTGGGCATTATTTCGGGGGTGACGATAAAATGGAACAGGGTGCCGAGTACGCCTACGGCGGTGGAGAGGAGGAGACCGGGTGTGGTGCGGTCGATTAGGTACCAGAGGACTGGGTTTACGAAGGCGAGGGTGAGGGATGCTTGGAGGGTAGAAGACCATGGTAACTTGCGCTGAAACGAATATATTAGCAAAATAAAATAAAATACCTTCCTCTGCTGGGAATGAGAGAGCAGCATAACATACAATCGCGAAAGCAATCCCCACAAACCCTCCCACGCTCCTCACAACCGGCGTCCAGTCTGCGTCCAGTATGGTATTCGAATCAAGCTCCTCGCCCGCCTTCACAATTTGACTCGGTGGGCAAGTATTCTTGTCCCCATACTCCTCCACCGGTTCTCTTGAATCGGCTGAAAACATCGTATCGACCCACGGCAGAAGACTCCCCAATGCAACACCAGCCACGCCCCAAAATATTAGATACCTCCAATCATTACTCGGCTTGATGAGGCCTCCAACCTGGACCGGCGCCAGCTGCTGATCATCATGCAGATGCCGTACCAAGAGTCCATATCCCATGCCTATGCCAAATAACAATATGCTCCTCAACACCAGCGAAAACACCCGGAAGAACGTAGACGGTGGAGGTCGAGGCGGGGCCGTCGAATTTCGAAGGATTGGGGGGGAGGATGGGCCATTGAGGGGCGTTTGGGCGCCTGTTCCCCAGGGCGTTGAAGGCTCGCCGTACTCTGAGGCTGTGTAGCCCGTGTGCGAGTAGATGCCCAGCAGGGTGGAGGAGGTGAGGTTCAGAATGGAACCCGTTCGAGAGGGCGCTTCATCTGCTACTTCAGGGCTGAGGAGTGGACTGGGAGGTTGTTCGATTATGGAGCTGTGGCCGAAGGGTCTCTGGGGTGTAGGACGGTAGAACTTGGGGGACGAAGACATTTTCCAGGCGTGGTGATGATATATTGGTTGTATCGTAGGGTTTTCGATGGGCTGCCGTGCTGCTTTTCGGGGTTTCGCTGAAGTTTTTGTTGTGATTGAGTTGTCAGATTTCAACGTTTTCGTGATGCTATAGCATGTGAACGCCCTCACTTGTACGTCGCCGTCAATGTTTCAAGTCGTCGTGTATTCCCAAGCTCTTTCGTACGCAGTAACCCGTGTACAATTGCAATAAACCCTGAAAATCGTATGTATTACTTGTATACGTATGAGAAGTGGTGGGGATTTCACGAACGACTTTGGCGGCGAGAATCATGGAATCCGGATGGGATTCCTCACACATGTGAAAGACCGCAAAAGCAGTGAGTACGGAGTAGTATATTATAGTGTTGAGTGGGGATGCACGCGTACGGAGGTAGCGCAAAGTCTCCGTCCCACTTTTAATCGCAGCTCTCCAATGGTAAGCTCGTCTGGAGTCTGGATGGAACACTTGACTTTGCTTCACATGCTCACATGCTCAAATCCTTGTACCGGCGCTTCAGTACCTTCCGCCCCGACAGCTAAACTGTTTGGGGCATAGTATGAACCTACCTAGTCCTAGGTAAGATCTTACCTTTCTCTCATGCCAGCACTCCGTAACACTTTCCATATTCTATTCACAATCCTAGCAATCATCCCTTTATCATGCCATGCTATGAACAGTCTAATATTGTAACAAGTCCCGAGGTCAGTGTCAGTTCTCACAAGACCGGGCTTTAACCTGCATTGCATAAACTTACTTCGTATTAGCATGCATATGCGCAGATCCTGGGGTTTTACCGTATCGCCAAATCCGGCAATTGAGGTATGATTTGTATTGTGTTTATCCTAGGACTGCAGAGTAGAGGGTTGTCACTTGGGAAAAAGCTTCATAATTTGAGAGTTTGTTCTGAGGTCTCAAAAGGATTTGGGAACTTGAAATGATATTTTAATTTACCTCATCGAGGTCTCGTATCTCGTCATAAGTCATTATCTATACTCTGCCCTTTCTATGCGGCCGTAGGTCTCTTCTACCATATAAACAAACCTCACAGGCTAGTTCATATCTTTTCCGTCATAGTGACATCCATCTTCTCCGTCGTCTTTTCTTTCGCCTCATCCCCTCGACTCGCATAACATAATCAGACGTAAATATATCAAGCTTCGTATCCCTAAACTTTCTCGCACTAACACCACGCTCAAAAAGAACATCCATCTCACCATAAGTCCTCCCCTTAGGCTCAGGTAGCCGGAAATAGATCCACACGATACACAAAAAACAGGTGCCTGCCCAAAAGAAAGCAGACTTCGCACCCCATCCCCAACCAGTAGGTTGTGGGGTGAGTTGGTAGGTCGTAAGAACGTTAACGACGATACCACCAACATTGTAGCAATTCCTCGCAATGACAATAGTCTTAGCCTTCAACCGCGTTGATGACACCTCTGCTACCAGTGCATAGCACACCGGACCGACCGTAAGATCATATACGAACGTGAAGATTAACAGCATAGAGCCAATAGCCCAACGCGAAGATGTGTTGGAGGATGGCGCGATAGCCGTGAGGCCAATAATGATTAGCAGGGCGAACAGGACGCAGGAACCATTAAGGTAGAGAGACCGTCTGCCTGCGCGGGCCATAAGAAACCAACTGCCTATGGTACCGATCATGCCGAGTGCGTACTGCGCCATGGAGAGGTCGAAGGAGGCTGTCGTGGCCAGACCGGCTTGTTGGTAGAAGTAGGTTGAGTAGCCCATGAAGGTGCTTCCGCACCATGTTTGGACGAGCCAGGTCATGCAAGCTATTTCAGTTCGGCGGCGGTCGGTTCGTTTGAAGCAGTCAAAGTAGGATGTCCCTGCGGATATCTGCTTCTCAATTTCGTTGGTGTGGACCATCATGGAGATCTGACTGTCGACGTTGAAGTCTGCATCGTTGCGGGTTGTGAGACGGAGAACGGACTTTTTGGCATCTGCGATTCTGTTGTGACGGACGAGCCACCATGGAGATTCAGGAGCGAAAAGGCAGCCAATCAAGATCGGGAGGGGCCACATCCATTGAACTGCAAATGGAATGCTGGACGTAAAGTCAGTATGTTCTGTGTAGTAGATCTTTTGGGTATATAACGTACCGGTATGCCCATTGATCTTGACGGGAAAGAACCCCGCGAACAACACCCGAAGCGATGAACTGACCCATGACCCAGCAGAGGTTGACGTACGTACAAAGGTAGGCACGGAGAGCGACAGGGCAAACATCGGATGCGTAGGCACAAGTGAGAGTCTGAAAGACGCCCCTATTGATCGAGGTTAGATACGGCTAGAGAGGTGGTGTGCATGCATATCCTGAAATATGGGCAGGGTCATCATACCATGGAATACCGCACATGATTTCCCCTGCAAGAAGCATTTGAACGTTCTGGGAGAAGAACGGGATGAAGATGAAGGCAACCATCATGGCCAAAGCCCCAATCATTGTCTTGCGGTAGCCATACCTCTCCGATACCATACCACTGATAAAGAGACCAATTATCTCCCCACAGAGGGCACCATTGCTGAGGCCTGACTTCCATGGCGCGGGAACGGTGTATGTCCCGTTGGCGCCCCGAGAACCAAACTTTTGGTTGAATTGTGGTAGAGCGTAGAAGGAACTCAGCAATACGACATCATAGCCTTCCATGACGATGGCGGTGCTAAGAAGTATTGACCATCCGACGGCTTTCGGATATAGCTTGATGGCTTGCATGAAACCCATCTGCTGTTCCTTGGTGGTGGCATCTTTGGCTTCGGTTGAGAGACCAGCGAAGTTCTCGACAGCAACTGAAGCTTTCCGGACGACACTGTCCTCGAGGTGGAGTGTGTTGTCTGGAGCAGCTTCTTGGGCGGTGAGCCCTTGGCGCATGGTGATGGTGGCAATATGTGGAGATGGTAGTGTAAGAAGATAGAGCAACGAGGATGAGTTGTTATATATTTGAAACTAAATCGGTCGAGGAAGGCATCCAAAAGAAGGAGGAGCGAGTTGACGAAAGTAGGACCATCAGATCTACCTAGGTAGCAATTGAGCGGCAAGGTATGAGGGGTATACACAGAGACATATCTACACCCCAGTAGTAGGTTGGTAGATATCGAATTACGGTTGGTGGTACAGAGGCGGGAGTGGCTCGAGGTCAACAGGGAAAGCGGCACTAGACTTCCAAGGTGTCAGGCGGAGTGGGACGTTGAACATGGGCGATAATGATTGCCGCTATTGTGTCCACAGAGCTACCTAGGTGGGGTTTAGACTTGGCTATACTACATAGGTACTTGACAAGGTTTCGTCTTCTCGTCATATGCGGGGAAATCTGGTGCAAATGGTTGGAGACTAGGTCCTAATAGAGTTAAATTTGACTAGGAGAGAGAAAGATACCTCATATAGAACTCACTGACCCCGCAAGCATCAGAGTACAGGAGCCCATTATCGTAGTCCCACGTCATGCAGGCATCTGATTGTGTTGTATACCTTAGGTATGCTTCGTCATCATCAGTAGCCGTCTTTCTCTGCTATTTCACTGAACCGTTTGCGGAAGCCTGCGAGACGGTCTTGTCTTGAGCACGTGAGACATAATGTTCCACTTGATATTGTGTCCTAATACAAGGACCGGCCCGCTTGTCAATTGGAGCACCATCAGCAAAGATGGCTAAGCTTGATATATGTGGTGTAACAATATCAGATGGATGGATGGGAAAATGCCGACAAAAACAAATGTAATTAGTTTCGATGACGCACAGATCACCTTACGCCCCACCCCACCTACCCCACACTTTCAAAGTGAAAGAAAGAAAATACGGAGTACAGTGAGAGATGGATATCCATCACCCCGCCGCTCTCTCCAAATATACCTACTTCAGAAGCTCCAACCTATTTATAGACTTCCAAAACTGCGAATCGATGTGAGTATATCTCCACATATACCTAGGTGGGGCAAGCGAGAAGCTGCATTATTCGGATAGCGGGGTTAATATGTTCTACTCCCCACCTGCTTCAAGGTCGACAACCCCTTGTCATTTATTTCGGTTTCGTCGACACACAATGAAGCTGTACGCCAGTATCGTGACACCTATAGTAAACTAAACTCAGTTTGCTGCGTAACATGGCATTTCTTTCGTCTATTCTCACATGATCCTTTTACGACTTGGCCTTGTAACCCCACTTCTATCATTTCCCCTCTCAACTTTCCAACGTCCTTGTCGGTTGTTAAATCCTCTAAACCTTCCTTCCACCACCAAACTCTCTGCATCATTTCATACCACAAACAACCATGAGTGCACCAAACAGAATTTGGTGGAAGGATGGCACTGTCTACCAAATATACCCCGCCTCATACAAAGATTCCAACAACGATGGATTGGGTGACATTCCAGGTATCATCTCCAAGATCGATTATATCAAAGATCTTGGTGTTGATCTCGTCTGGCTCTCCCCAATGTACGATTCACCACAGCTTGATATGGGTTACGACATCTCCAACTACGAAGCTGTCTACCCACCATACGGTACCGTTGCTGATATGGAAACTCTGATCGAAGCATGCCATTCGCGGGGCTTGCGTCTGATTCTCGATCTCGTCATCAACCATACATCGGATGAACACCAATGGTTCAAAGAGTCTCGAAGGTCGAAAACCGATCCCAAGAGAGACTGGTATATTTGGCGACCTGCGAAATACGCGGCAGATGGGACGCGAATGCCTCCGAACAATTGGCGGAGTTTTTTCAGTGGTAGTGCATGGCAATGGGATGAACATACACAAGAATACTATCTCCATCTCTTTGCTACTCAGCAGCCGGACTTAAATTGGGAGAATGCCACCACTCGCCGAGCAATCTATGATTCTGCCATGGAATTCTGGCTTCAGAAGGGGGTTGATGGATTTAGAATTGATACGGTTAACATGTATTCCAAGGTAAGGAAGCTTGACGAGGACCAACTCCTTCAAGTTCCATCTGAGAAGTTTCACTTTGCAAAGCAATTTTGAAGAATCAAAGCTAATTTTCATCTGCAGGGTACCGACTTACCTGATGCTCCTGTTATCGATCAAGGTATCTTCGAGCAACCCGCTTCAAGCCTATTCTGCAATGGCCCACGAATGCACGAGTTCCTCCGCGAAATGAACACCCAGGTCCTCTCCAAATATGACACCATGACCGTCGGCGAACTCCCCGATACCCCAGACCCCAAACACGTCCTCCGATATGTCAGTTCAGGAGACAAGCAGCTCGACATGATATTTCAGTTCGACATTGTCGATTTAGGAGGCGGCAAGATACATAAATACGAGTACGAAGGCTACCAGCTCTCAGAGATGAAGGCAATAATCGCTAAATGGCAACAATTCATCGACGGTAGCGATGGCTGGACAACCGTTTTCTGTGAAAATCACGATCAAGGCCGTTCAGTCTCGCGATTTGCATCTGATGCCCCCGAATGGCGGGAACGTTCTTCCAAGCTGCTGGCAATAATGATGTGCGCCATGACCGGTACACTATTCATCTACCAAGGGCAAGAAATCGGGATGATCAATGCTCCCACCGCATGGCCCATCGAATATTACAAGGACATCGAGGCGCTCAATTATTACCATTCCGTTGCGAAGCGAACAAATAATGACACGGAGGCTTTAGCACACGTTATGAAATCCATTCAGATCCTCGGACGAGACCATGCTCGTTTGCCAATGCAGTGGGATTCCACTCCTTATGCTGGTTTCACGGGTAAAAAGGACGGGGCCTGGATGCGTACCCATGACCTGTACAAGGAGATCAACGTCGCGTCCCAACTAAACGCCCCGGACTCTGTCCTCAATTTCTGGAAGAAGATGCTGCAGACAAGAAAAGCGCACAAAGACCTTTTCATCCACGGCCGCTTCGAAACTTTCGATATGGATAATCAGGAGACTTTCGTATTTGGCAAGACCTTTGGCCAAGACCGGGCAGTTGTGGCGTTGAATTTCACGGATAGCGAACAGCCGTTCAAGAGGCCGCAGGGGCAGGGGAAGATGCAGTTGCTGGTAAGTAATGTAGGGGGTGTTGATGGGACAGAGGATATACTATTACCGTATGAAGGGAGAGTTTACCTTGCGCTTTGATAAAACGCTTGCTTCATTATATCAAAATTCCTTTTCCTCGACGTTCTTTCTGATTGCATAGCGATGAGCCTCCTGATTTAGCATTTCCCTTTCCAATCACCAGAATGGTTCAACAGGTCTGGTCCACCCCGCTTATGTAAGCAAGAGGCCTGTGCACCCACCCCCACTTTCACCACTTGACACGAGATTCAAGCAGTCCCATTACATTGGCAAGCGCTATGATGTCCATGTCCAAAGTGCCTTTACATGATTCTTCTCCTCTTGTATTGATAAAGTTGAAACCAAGGCAGGCTGACTAAAATTCGAGGAGCTTACTTCACCATGGATATCTCCACCATCCTATCCACCTCCAAGCCTGATCTCGCGCCCTACGAGTCCCTATACAAGCATCTACATCAGAACCCAGGGCTCTCTCTACAAGAACACCTTGCTGCTGAAACCGCGGCTAAATATTTGCGTTCTTTTGAAGGCTTCGATGTGAGAACCAACATTGGAGGTACCGGTCTCATCGGCATCCTCAAAAACGGACAAGGGAAAACAATATTACTTCGCGCGGATACAGATGCACTTCCAATTGAAGAGTTGACCGGCCTGCCATACGCGAGTAAAAAGCGGGAGGTTGATGTGGAAGATAGGATCGAGAAACCAGTGATGCATGCGTGCGGGTATGTCATTTACATTCGCGAGTGTTTGGACTATTAGAACAGGTTGCTACAGATTTCACTCTGGTATCATTACTTGGTCAATTCGGTTTCATCCCTTTTGATAAACGTGTCGCTGATATTTGGTCACTTCTAGACACGACATGCATATCTCATGTATGCTGGCAGCTGCTGAGACGTTGCACACTTCTATGAGACATTGGAAGGGTACACTAATAGTACTGTTCCAGCCGAATGAGGAGCGAGCTGCGGGAGCCAAAGCCATGATTGCGGACGGACTTTATGATTCCGAAAAGCATGCTTGCCCGGCCCCCGACGTGGTGTTAGGCCAGCACGTTTTCCCCTTGCCTGCTGGCACCGTCGGGACTCGAGTTGGATCTTTTATGTCTGCTGCGGACAGTTTCCGTGTCACAGTCTATGGCAGGGGCGGGCATGCAAGTATGCCACATAGGACTGTGGATCCTGTGGTTATGGCTGCTCATATCATCGTTCGCCTACAAACCGTCGTTTCCAGAGAGGTAGACCCACGAGACTCTGCGGTTGTGACGGTAGGAAGTGTTCAATCTGGTATGACGGAGAACATCATTTCAAGTGAAGCTACTCTCAAGATCAACGTCCGGACTGTACTCCCCGAAACGAGGACGAAGGTCTTAGCAGCCATCAAAAGGATTGTGAAGGCGGAATGCGATGCCAGTGGTGCTTCGAAAGAAGCTCTCTGGGAATCAACAAGCTCCTTTCCGTTCACTATCAACGATGGAGAGGTCACGAACCACGTAGCAGAAGCATTCAGCGAACATTTTGGGGAATTACACGATCCAGATACCCCACCACTAAGTGGCTCGGAAGACTTTAGTATTCTCGCAATAGAGGCTCCTAATAAGGATGGAGGGAGAGGGGTTCCCTATTGCTTCTGGAATTTTGGAGGCTCGGATCCCAAGACGTTCGAGGACTTTAAAGGACGCGGGAAACTTGATGAGCTTCCTGCCAACCATAGCTCATACTTTGCACCTGTCATACAGCCCACTCTTTCTACGGGGGTGGATGCTTTAGTCGTGGCTGCATTGAGCTACTTGAGATAATTGGATCCAAACCCAGTCTCCATATTACAATGGTTGGAGAATTGACTGAGACTGAGAGTAAATATTTGCAAAGACGCTTTGTCATTGGTCAGCCACACATAAAGACACCAGCCACTCATCTCCGCTTGGTCTGACAGAAGCTGACGGGCAAAATCCAATTCCCAGAACATGCACGAAAAGTCTATTTGCTCTCCACATTCTCGGGGACTCAAACCATTCCCACTTGCAGTGAAGCATTCTTCCGTATGGCGGCTTAGTAGTCGTACTCGTACTACGTACTTCTCGTACTCCGTACCATCAGCTTCACAGAACACATGACAAAGTTGTCGGCATAGGGTTACAGTGCACCGAGCCTGCAGGAGTCCAGGACCGAAGTCTAGGCTTTTTTTACGTAGTCGCGTTTTATTACGATGCATCGGGGCTGCTAAGCTATTCAGGACTCGGACAACGTCTCTCTTTTACTCCTGGAGTTGGAGGGGTCTTGGGGTATATCCTCATTTTCAAGCACAAATTACGAGTGTCTTATTTCATTGCGAAGAGTAATTATTTTCTCCATTTTGGCGTTTGACATCTGACTATGATTAGTAATGCTGACGTTTTGCGACATTCAAAACCACTTTGATTCTTATGCATCTATGTATCGCAAAGTATTTCTTATTCCCCCCTTTCTACAAATACCACCGAGAAGTCTTGGAAGCGCCGACGCAATGCGAGAAAACGTGAAAAGCGCCGAGGATTCGGCACTCCACCTTCCCATGGGACGCTAGTGTAGACACGGGGACTCCTCACTGCCTGTTTTGAGATATGGGGTTTGGGGTTGGACACATGGCTACCTGGACCTGGTCCCCCACATCTCACGCGTATCTATAAATGTCCATCTGGGATTGGCCTCGATGAGACAGAGAAGAAGCGCCGGTTGGCGTAGAAAGAAACGCCGAGCCGTAGACATCGGCCCAGGAGTGCGCCCGGAAACTGCAAGCCACCTTCACATTCTCAAAAACTAAACATTTGATTAAATTTGATTTAATTGCTTTTCGTCGCTATGCTATCATTTGAGATCTAAAGTGGCAGAGATTTCATTCTATATCAACGTATTATATTTGAATCATTTTTTGCGTAGGCGACATAGCTTCAGCTTTTATAAAAGTCTAACTCTAGACTTTTCGTGGGGGGACGGCAATGTTTTTAGCGCTCGCTGTAGCGTTGACTGTACCAACGGCCGGGGTCGCGGGGCACCCAATCGTTCTCGCCCCTCTTCCCCAGACCCCAGTCCATCTAAACGCGAGAACACGGAGGTACTGTCCTCGACCGGCTAGGTTCCTACCCAAGATCGAACCCGCAGACCACAAATCTTCACTGCGAAGAGACTTGTCACCATTCTGGAAGACCCCACTCCACGGAGTCAGAGATTATTGAAAAGACTAACAAACTCGTTCCATTATCGGCGCTTGATTATGAGCAGAGAGAGGGATTTCAGTTTGATTAGATCAGATCTAGGCCGGTGATCCATGCGCACTCACTCGCTGATATCAAGCTTGACTGGGGGTGACCCTAGTCCTAAGCAACAGAAGCAGACCTCTTCCCCGGTAGGATTAGATGAACGTTACACCTGAGCTGCTCTTCGCTCGGTCAACTATAAGTGTCTCTATCCCCCCTTCTGTACAGATTCATCCAAGCTTATTGTTCAGTGGTAACTTCCATTGCTTACTTCGACCCCTTCCTTAAGCTACATCCCAGTAGTTTTCACCGACAACTCTTGCACATCCCTCACAATGGCTGGAGGCGCCATCCCCGTCCATGGCACGACCGACATCAATCGGGTCGAAGCCCCCGTTACAATGAAGGCATATCTCATCTGTGCTTTTGCTGCCTTTGGAGGCATATTCTTCGGATATGATACCGGCTGGATGTCTGGTGTCCTGGCGATGCCTTATGTCATTACTCAATATACCGGCATCGAATCACCACCTACAGGAACATCGGCTGAGGCCGTCAAGCTTCAAGACGCATTCCATCTTACAGCTCGGGATCAATCTCTGACTACTTCAATTCTTTCCGCTGGTACCTTCTTTGGTGCTATCATCGCTGGTGATGTTGCCGATTTCATCGGCCGTCGTCTAACTATCATTATGGGATGTGTGATCTTCACTGTCGGCTGCATTCTCGAGATTGCTTCAACTGGCCTTGGACTCATGGTACCTGGTCGTTTCATTGCAGGTCTCGGTGTTGGCTTTATCTCCGCCATTGGTACGTTTTTCACAGGATTGTCTGGCATGAATACATGATTCTAATCAACTGGAATAGTTATCCTATATATGTCAGAAATCGCACCTCGAAAAGTTCGTGGCGCTCTCGTCTCTGGATATCAATTTTGCATCACTATTGGTATTCTAATCGCCAACATTGCTGTCAATGGAACCAAGCACCGAAAGGATACAGGATCATATCGGATTCCTATTGGGCTTCAATTTGCCTGGGCTTTGGTTCTTGCTATCGGACTATTCTTTCTTCCTGAATCACCACGTTACTTTGTCAAGAAAGGCAGACTCGATGATGCAGCAAAGGCTCTCTCTTCGGTTCGTGGACAACCACTCGAGTCCGAATTTATCCAGGCCGAACTTGCTGAGATTATCGCTAACCACGAGTACGAAATGTCGGTCATCCCTAACACATCTTATCTGGGAGGCTGGGCCAACTGCTTCACGGGATCACTTAAGAACGGTAGCAGCAACATCCGCCGAACCCTGCTCGGCATACTTATGCAGATGATGCAACAATTGACTGGAATCAACTTCATCTTCTACTTTGGAAATATCTTCTTAACCTCGCTTGGCACGATCCACAACCCCTTCTTGATCTCTATCCTCAGTGCTCTCATCAACACAGTTTGCACACCGCTTTCATTCTACGCAGTGGACAAATGGGGTCGACGAACCCTTCTTATCTGGGGTTCTGTCGGTATGATCGTATCTCAATTCCTTGTCGGTATTGTCGGAGTTACAGCTGGTAAACTTTCTGCACACAACAACCCCGCGGTTTCTTCTATGATTGCCTTCATTATGATTAACGTCGCCATCTTCTCCTTCACATGGGGTCCAGGTAAGCTCATTCTCATATTAAGGATTGTTTACTATGCTAACACCTGATTAGTTGCTTGGGTTGTTGTCGGAGAGATATTCCCGCTCCCAATCCGCTCGCGTGGTGTTGGTCTTTCGACCGCCTCCAACTGGATGTGGAACTGCGTAAGTTTCCTATTCCAACCCCCTCTCTTTACTGTACTAATAAAAACGTCTTAGATCATTGGTGTCATCACTCCTTACCTTGTCGGAACCGCTAAAGGCGATGCCAACCTCGGAGCCAAGATCTACTTCATGTGGGGTTCCCTGTGCATGGTCTCCCTCGCCTTCTCCTTCTTGCTCGTTCCCGAGACCAAGGGCCTCAGCCTGGAGCAGGTCGATCGTATGTTGGAAGAGACCTCCCCTCGTACGTCTGCCAAATGGGTACCACATTCTACTTTCGCAGCGGAAATGGGTCTTGCGGATAAGAGCGGCGATGTCGAGGTTGTGCAGGCCGAAGCCAATGAGAAGTCTATCGTCTAGATTCTGGGTTTCAGATCTGTGATTCGTATCATTGATTGGATCTAGGGTGGATATAGATCCAGCTGTGCGAAGACTTATTATGTTAATTAAGATACCCTTGAATTCGCGATATAAAGAGAATAATGAAAAGATTAAATCAGCAGCCTAGGGATGCTAGACGACATCGGTGATAGTAAATATATAGCTTTGATAGTAGGACTACGCTTTGCATGGACATATGGATGTGCTGAAGACCAAACCAAAATTGTCCCTTCGAAAAAGCAAGGAAACCTCGAAATATTAATTGTTTTATGGGGATCTAGGTCTAGCTAAGCGCGCGCTTGCCCCCAAACTCTGCATCACAATAATCATTATCAACTACCATTCACGCTCTCCAAAGACCTGGCATTCTCACCTACACTTTGCCGCCATGGTCACTCGAAGAATCTGCTGTACTTCTGGGATCTAGGTGAACAAGAAATGCTTTCAAAGGAAGACACCGAAAAGCTCTATGCGGCCCGTGCCGAAGGCGAGTATGGAAGGACGACCGATCAAGGCTAGTAACCCGAAGACAACAAAAGCCCCAAGCCACGCGGCGTAAGAAATGTCCCGCAAGGATCAGCTGAATGCCGGGCGTTGCGTCTGTTTCCAAATCCGGAAAGGGGGAACTGACAAAGGAGGGAGGAAATATTCTACGATGAACAGACAGAAGTGAAAGACTACTAACATTGTGCCATCACTTGAACATAATCGACGCAATACTAATAAGGATGAAACCGCTCCCATTTTCATCCAGTTCAACCAATTCAAACTAATGCCGCGAGCATTCTCCGTTAATGTCAACTTGGGCTCGGCTTTGCTGTTCTTCTAGTAGCAAACGCCCCGCCATCTTGATACGAAACAATTACAGTACATATAAACCCAAAAGAGAAATCTCAAAACTTTTCATTGCACGTCGGCTCGGGTTCGTGTTCGTTTAGCCTGGATCCTTCTAAGAGAGAGAAATCGCCATCTAAGGAGCGGTCTGAAGCCAGCCAGCTGTCGTCGTACGTCTGGCGTAGGGTAGGCTGGGTCCATCGCAATCGCATCTCGTTTACACCCCTGCCTCTAAGGATCGCGTATCTACCTCAGTAAATACGACGCGATACGATCGATACGATTACGCTTCCGCCGTCGTCCGAACCTCCTTCCCCGTTTCGCTTTGAGTTTTGCATCTCGTCGCTTATATGATGCACGCCGAGTGCCAATACAAGTAGGTAGTTGCGTTTTGTTGCATTTCGGCATCGTACTCGGTACCAAAAGCAGCTTTAGTAGAATATGAATCCCATTATTCATTCAATTTGTCAGTGAAACCCGTATTTCGTTCCTATCAGCGTACGGAGTATGCATCTCGCAGCCGAGCGGTCATCGGGATGACTTATCATCATCGTTTCATCCAACCACGCCCTACCTGGATTGACGACGAAGACTTCAATCCATCTCGAACGAGATCTATGTGCGGTTTGTTGCACTTCGTATCGGATTGCTCGGATTCGGGGAGCCTATTACTGAGCTGCTGTTATTGAAATGAAACTATTTCCGTTGCGTTATATGAATGTATGTCTGCCGGTCATAACCCTACTGTACCATGCTCGGGATATAGGCCGGATCTGCTCTACGGGTCGTTGCGAACTGTTTTGGAAGATATCTAACGTCGGATTATAGTCCAAATAAGGTCTTTCGCAATGTTTGTTGCATGTCGTATCGTATCCTTCGCATTCTTCTGCTGCTAGTGAGATTTCGAGAGCGGCTAAATCGATATCATAGCTAAAGCTACCCCTCCATCCCCCACCAACTTACTTTTAATACTGCAAGAGCCAGCTTTGCTCGCAATATCAAATGTTTGAATTGAATACCAATGATAAATAGCACTAGATTCTCCAGAATACAAAATAAACAATAGTCAAAATACAAAGATCAGAACTTCGGTCTATTACTAGAATCTCACCTGTCGATCATAGTGCCTCTTACCCCTCCACACCTCTCCTTCTTCAGTAGGCCTATTCCTCGGTCTCTGCATTCCAAATCACCACGAGCCCTGTCTGGAATTTGTTGCACTTCGGCCTCGTGTTCTAAACGACGGACTCATCGATTATTCGCTTTAGCTTTTTCTCAATACGAAGGATACGACCGAACACATAACACGAAGCAGCTATAACAGATACAAACTACGAAATGATTCGTTGCAAGTCGACTTCGCAAGCCTCGTCCAATGAATATCAACGTGAAGATAGGGCCCTACCCGCTATATAACATAAAGTGCGAGTCGTACATGAGAGAGAGGTGAACTGACTCGCACTATATTGATGCACCCGCGGTCGGTCTGTACGTAGGTACGAGGTGCGTGGAGTTGCCGCAATGCTTTTCTTGAATAGGCTTACCTTGCAATTATCTCTCCACATCGATTGGCATGCTCGCATCGCAAAAGGGACCAATCGCATGTACGTATATTAATTGCAAATACTACTGTAACAGAGTTTTCTGAATGAGAGGATGCGAGGATGCGAGGCTGAGAGAGCCGCAGAGAGGTGCATGTATGGGCTTTAAGAGGCTGACGGTACCAGTATCTGATCCTAGGACGATGAGTTAAACTTCTCAGTAGCTTGTCTGTGATGGTATTCAATATAAAATCTGTCTATAAAATTGCTTTCTCTTAAGCATAGTATGCCACGTCCTAGAGTGCAGAATCTGTCCCTATTCCTTCTCTTCTTTGCACCAAATTTCACGTCTCTCGCTGTCGGGATGCAGGTTGGCTGTGATGCATGCATGGTACTTGGATGTTTAGGAGGGGTTGCTCCGGTTCGGATTTAGTCGTGAAGGTAAGCCGGAAGTATTGCCTTTCCATGGAGTTTTTGAGTTGTGCAAGCTCCGTGTAGAGGGTCTCGGTGTTTATTGGCGGCTCTAGATATTTGGCTTCACCACTATTGGTTGTGATGAGTAACGTGAGTCGTTTGGGACTTTTGCTCGGAGGTAATTTTCCTGGAAGGTGTAGGTGACGTACTTCAACTTGGTATTCTGCTGTAGACTCTGGTCTGTCTATGGTATCGCTTTTCCTTGTAGATGGCTTCTTTGTTTCGTAGCTAGGAAGGGAATTGGCTCGTCTCTCGTGCACTACGATCAACGATGCACTCAGTGCCGCCTTCTATCCCTATCCCTCTCCCGCTCTCTATCCCTCCCACTATCCCGATACCCGTCCCTATCCCTGCCTCCACCCCTCTCCCTCTCCCGTTCACTCCTATAACTACCCCCGCCCCTCTCCTCCCTCTTCTCCCGCTTCCGCTCTTCCTCCCTCTTGTACTCACTAACCCTCGGTCTCCTCTCTCCATTTCCCCTACCCTTCCCACTCCCAGCAGGTTTCAGCCTCTTTACATCAGCCTTCTGCACCCACGCCCCCAACTCCTCCGCACCCTCCAACTCCTTCGCCCCAAGCCCTAGTAAATTCTGCCTCCTCTTAATATCCTTGGCCTTCCCATCCTTCTTCGTTTCCCCATCCCAGCCCATGCCCCGTAAAAGAGCGGCGCCAAATTCTTCGATAGGGACGCGCTCGTAGTCTTCTAAGGTGGAAGAGGGTGGCGCGGTGGCGATGGCATGCGCGTAGGCTGTTTCTTCAGAGAGGTGCGCGGGTATGATGAGATCGGGACCCTTTCGCGACTTCTCGTTGCCTAAAAGGGCTTGTAATGCTTCGTCGTCTGCGGCGACTGGTCTTATTTCGAGTTCTTCGATTTTGACCTTTGTTTCCTCCGCCTTGATATCAACTTTGTCACCAGTAGCAGGTTCTTCAGCTTCCTTCTTCCGTACACTTAATCCCCACTTGGTCTCCTCTTTCTCACCCTCCTCTGTCTTAATTTCCCCTTCTCCTTTCTCCCTAGCCTCCCTCTCCCTCGCCTCTGCTTGCACCTCAGCAGGCAGTAGATTCTTCCCTCCACCTCTCGCACTCGCACCAGCCGCCCTCCGATTCGAATTCTTTAAACTCGGAATAATAAGCGGTCCTTCTTTCTCCTTCTCCACCTGATTTATGGCGCCTTCTTCACCGAACCCCGTTACGACTTCATGTTTACCCCTCCTTTCGCTCTCAGAATCGTTGTCGCTGTCATCGTGTTGGGGGAATGTTGAGCGTGGGCGTTTGCCTAGAGAACTCGGGGGTTTTGCGACGACAGGTTTGGTGATGAGGGATGGTTTGGAGGTCCCTGGTTTGGATTTCGAGAGGGAAAATCCTTTGATTGCTATTTTCGGCGCTCCAGTAGAGGGAGGACTGTCTTTTGAAGGGGTCATTTTCATTTGGTGTTGTTGAAATGATGAGTCTGGAGAAAATATTAGGATTCGATGATCTAAATTTAGCGGTCGATGATGGCAGAATATATTGGCCTTGCACACGCCTGAGGCATAACTATATCACGTAATGGGCGAGAAGGTGGAAAGTTGCGGGTGAGATCGCGTCTTTCGCGATAATTATCATATGTAAGCTATTAATCTATGTATTCATCATGTCTGCTATGATGCAAGCGTACTGCCTCAGCAAGGCTAAAGTGAGGCAGCAAAAATCTACTCTAAACCATACCACCCAGCCTACGGAGTAATATCCGCTCATACCCAAACTCCTGACCAGCCACCCAATCCCTATGTAACGCCTTATTTCCCACTCTGAACACTCGTAGAACTATTCATATGGGCATGTCCTTGGACTGGAGTCCCGTTCTCGCCCCGGTTTTGAGGGGGCCCAGCAGAAAGCGCATTCGCTGCTTGTCGCGCCTGCTCTGCTTGTTTCTGATTCTCGTGTTGTCGCGCTAGCATCTGCGCATAGGCCTGCTGCTGTTGCCCTTGAGGGCTGTTATTCGCTTGTCTTGGAACTTGACCATTCGCATCCATCATTCCGGTTCCGGAACCTGCTGCTGCATTCATAGCACTCTGCGCGAGTCCGCTCTGCAGACCCTGTTGTCTTTGCTGTGAGGCGTTTCGTTTGAGCAGGTCCGTCATCATGGTCATAATCTGATCCGTGGGAAGATTGGGATATTGTTTTCGCAGTGTTGCTTCCATGCGGGCGATAGTGTTGTTGGGTTGGTCTTGGGAGAAGGGGAGTTGGCCCATTCGGGGAGAACTAACTTGGCCGTGTGTTTGACCGGGAGAAGATGTCATGCCATTCATTGGGGGTGTAGAAATACCGTTGGCATTGCTGTTGAAGCCCATCATGTTCTGCATCGGAAAACCATGAGGTTGAGGGATACCGTTGGATCGCGGTGGGGAGTTGTGCATCTGAGGTGATTGGCCGGGAACCTTTCCTTGTTGCTGTTGCATCTGGATCAATGCACGTTGATTTTCGGCCGTTTGAGCGGCTTGGGTCACGAGTCCCACAGTTGGCTGCATTGGCATTTGCGGTTGCATACCTTGCATTGGTCCTGGGCCTGGTGGCATACCATTCATGGGAAGTTGGGGAACACGCAGACCATTAGATCCAGGTTGTCCCATTTGAGGGGGCATTGGACGTGGGGGTCGGTTCTGTCCAGGTACGGTAAGATTTTGGCCAGAGTTACTCGGGTTTCCATTCGGTGCCAACGGATTATTTACAGGAGGGGGGCCACGTGGTTGGGAGCCGTTAGCCAGACCTTGTTGGAGATTCTGGGCGGGGTTTCTCTGCTGAGCCAGCACAGCCTGCCTGATGGTTAGCATATTATTGTAAAAATAAATAAACTTCGCTGGTCAGGATTTCATACCCTTCGTTGCGCTTCCTGTCTCTGTTGAAGCGCAATCACCCGTTCCTTGAACTGCTCTTCACGTTCATGCTTGATCCGACTGAAGTCTTGGGGACTATGATTCGGACCGCGTGGCGCAGGATTGTGGTTTTCATTGGCTTTCCGAAGTGCTGCCATACCAGCAGCTTGCTGTTGCTTCTGGATGGCCGTTTCCCGTTTCTTGGCTAACTTCCTCATTGCATCAACCAATGTGAGATGCTTTTGGTTTCTCCGGCGCTCGACTCGAACACTCGTCGTGGTTCTCCTCCGAGAAGGTGGTTGGATTTGCCCATTCGGTGCAACCCCTGGTTGGACTGCAGCAGCTTGAGCCATTACATTCCGATTAGCAGCCTCGATGCGTGTAGTATAGGCTCTGAAATAATGCGTCTTCTGCATATCAGCAGGCAAACCCTCGAGGTGGATCCAGCGCTCAAAGCATTCCCAAGGTGTGCGACGTTCTGCACCAGATGAGAAATTGGATTTACTAGCGAGCATACTCGAAATAAGAGACCAGTTGTAGGAGTACTCTCGGACGAGAGTTTTCAATTCGTTGTCTTCATCCCAGGTCCACTGAGATGCAATTCTAGTCTCAAAGAAACTTTGTAGCGGCATCGGAAATTCTGATGGCGGTCGGATTGATGTGATGAATGAATACGATCGCGAATATGCTTGTGTTCGGGGTTGAATAACGCAACATCGGTCGCTTCTGGTGGAAGGATAGGTTTGTTTCCTGGCTCACCAAATACGACTTCATCCTCATCGTCGTCTTCGTGTTCATATTCAAATCGGCTCCTCTTTCTAGGAGGACCCTCCAATTTCAACTCCATCCGGCCTTCGACGTATTTGCTCAACGGGAGCGCTGGTCGTCGCCAGGCTCGATCAGGATCGATCTCTGAAGTTGGTATATCAGACTGCGGGACGCTTAATGGAGCCCCGTACATAGGCAGCTCTGCAAGGAGCTTATCGGCGGTAGGAGATCTCCGTAGGCCAAAGACAACATCGTCGTCCTGTAAAGCAAAAATGGCCGTTGGAGCAACAGTCTCCATGAGGTCAAGGCGGGGTTCCTCATCAAGATCTTCCATGGGGGAACCAAATTCTCCAGAAGCGATAAGATCAGGTGTAGGGTGCGAGGGATCTGAGTCGCTCATCTCGGTATCCCTCAAGGGCTCTGCTAAGGGTGGAGAAGTGGCATTTACTTGCAGTAGTTTCCGATCTTCTGGGCTGGCTCCAACCCATTCAGCACATGCGGAAGCCAAATTCCTAGCTACAGTCGTTTTCCACTTGCGTTCCTCTCTGAAATCAGTTCGCATCCACTTTGCTTCTTGAAGGAGAACATCCCACTGGGTAGTAGGCCTGTTAGGCTCTGGGGCACGTTTTGGCTGCCGTAGGGTCCATTTGTTCCCTGATTGCAATTGGTATATGCGCTTGAGAACCTTGACGGTTTGCGTTTCCTGTAGGGGGACATATGCATTGGAAGTCGTGATTGTCTTATGGGCCGTGGCTAGCAAACTATCAAGGGTTGGGATTCCCCTCCGGTCTGAAGCAGCCGAAGCGATGAAAAGTGGCTTGAAGTAATCATCATGTGTCTTTGATACTTGTGGACCAGAAGGCATCAGTGCAGTATCATTAGAACCTGACTTGTTTGGTCGAGCCCGTGAAAATGTGACATGTGAAAGTTTGCTCCGTTCCCTATCTTTAGCTTTCTCAACCAAACTCCGAATACGGGTTCCAGGAGATTGAGGGGTGGTACTCCGTGAGGGGGAACCTGAATTCTCGGCTGAGCCCGAATCGGTGTTCAGTTTTGTTGGAGTTCTCTCTGAATTCGATGTATTGGGTCGTGGAATCTCTCCTAGAATTTCGTTCACTGACTTGTGCCGTATGGCACCCGAAGACAACCGGGTTGTCGAACGTTCCAAAGCAGGGGTAGCAGCAGCGATTGAAGGTGTCCTCTGATGGGTCGCTTCAGCTGGAGTAGCTGACGATTCGTCGCCGGGTGGAACTGCTGCTGGTTCAGGGGAGTCGGCGCGAGCAGAAGCAGGTGGATTAAGGCTTTCAAGTGCTTCACTGCTCTCAAATGAGTCTTTGACCGTAGTTGCGTCGATATCCATCGCATCGACTGGGACGTCATCTTCAGCCTCAGAATCAGCCACCTCGCGGGGTCTACTTTCTAGATCTTTGGGCTTCTCATGTGATCCCTCCACGCCAGACATCAAAACATCTTCAGGGGTGGGCACCGCAACTACTTCATCTTGATCTTCCATGGCGTCTTCCACAACTTCGTGGGCCCCCTTCGTAAGGGCATCGCCTTCATCTTCACTAGTACCATCTGGCTGTGGCTCATCTCCCATCGTTCTAGTCATTGTTGCAGCTTGTTGCTCCTCCATCCGTAGTTGATTGTCCGCAGCAGAAGGGCTGCTTTGAAGAATTTCCCTCCGCGAGACCTCTATCTGAGCATCCAGGATTCTGTCGTGGTGTTCTTTCTCAGCAACTTCTTCTGGTGTTGGCTTCAATTCCGGCGGAGTCTGAACATCGTCATCTTTGTCTAGCCTCTCAGCATCATATCGAGAATTATCGTTCTCTGGACTTGTATCGGTTGAAGTATCATGTAACGCCGGAGTAGTAGCTGAATTTGCATCGACAGTTGAGCTTGGCGAAGACACAAGTTCAGCATTCCGACCGCCGTCCCTAGGTGGTAGGTTGATCAACAAGTGCCTGGCCTCCTCCTTCTGCTCGCGTGCCCTTTCTCGCTCTCGAATATTGCGTTCTTGGACTTCCTTTGGAGGCAGATGTACTGTCGCAGCCTTATGGTGAGTATCGTGCGAGCCGAGTCCTTCTACGAGAGGTTCATTTAATTCTGCAGCATCCTCAGCTGATATTGGCATGGCTTTCCTTGGATCAACACCTGGGCTATTTGGCCTGCTCTCCACCGTCGTCCGAATTCTATCACTCTCTAGGTCCTTCACTGGAACAACGGTATCTGCGACTTCGAATTGGGGCCGTGCCGCATTCTCAAAAGTTTCTTCGACTATCTGGTTCAAGACAGTAGCTGATTCTGGAGGAAGATCTGTCTGCGAGCCCTTCGAATTCGGTCTCTGCATGTCCGCTGAGAGTACAGCTTGCCCTCCATTCCTGATCTCAACTACTGGGGTAGACGGGCGCCAGTCACTCTTTGCACTAGGTGTTGTGGGCCGACTCTTCCTCGTTCTCGATCCATCGCGCTGTGTCTTCGCCGGCTTGCGCGATGATTCCGCGGGATGGCCATCATTACTCGGTTTTCGTATAGGTGAGCGTTGTTTCTGGGCATTAGATCGTAATGATCGACGCGTTGGGAGGTTGGATGCGTCGAAGGGTCGTTTCCTAGAGTGCGGATAATTAGCAAACAGCCACATGCAAGTCGAGGAAGAGCTCTAGTAGGCCCAAACCATAACACCTGGATGGTTTGCACATACAGAGAGATGTCACAGACATCGAGGAAGTGTTTTTCTGCAGGCGTGGGTGGTGGCGCGTCATTACTCGTGAGGGTGGTTTGAGGAACGGGGCCCTCATTGTCGCAAACTGCGTAGAATTCGCGAAGCTTCCTCTTACGCGACGTAACAATTTTGCTACAACAGTCAGCACGATGATAAATATATGCATCGATGCGCCCTTCTCAGGGTTTTCGATCTATGTAGGTGGCGGAATTATTGTACCTGAGTTCGGTGCGTTTTGATCGCAAAAGGCGTGCGCGGTCGGCAGCCCCAACCTCACTCATAATAAAGCGACAGCAACATCCGTTTTGCGAAAAAACGGATGCAAAGCCAACCTTAATGGGGTCGTTGGAGATGACTGCAGGAATTATTTTGATGGAAAGTGGTGTTGTTGGGCTGGTGCAATTGATTTATCGTCTACACCGTGGTCTCTCCTCTCACGATCTCCGGGTCCGGGTGCTGCTGTTTCTTCGCTTTGACGCAGAATACTTCGGCAAACTGATCTAGTCTAATTTAGGTCGTTATGACCACCATATGGACGACGAACATAAGGTAAGGCACTGGGCAAAGGGGGGCTGCTTTACGGGGGAATTATCTACATTATAGCATCACATATATTCACAGAGCTATGGTTTGAGAGAGTGTGTGTGGAATGCACACGAATATCGCGAGCGGTGGTTTCATTGTTTGGTCGGATTATCGAATGCGGTAAAGTCATGCTACGTAACACAGACCGAATGCCACTAGTGATATGATCTTCCTTCCCCATCCTTTTCTGTCTTTGGATATGAAGATATATCTTCTACCACATGAAGTATCAATAAAGCTGCTTGGGTATTCACAACAAAGCTGTTTGATTTGCCCTTATTTACAATTTACATATATGCATCCGTCTTTTAATTTCTGCCTAGTCACCCCCCCATATGTACACGTACGTTTTGTCCAATCAAGGACCAGAGGCGTCACAGTCCATATATATTTGCATATGCATATGCTCAAGGCAGAAATATCTTGCTTTTGGTAGAATTTATCCAATGACTAGTCATTCGTCTCTATATGATGCTCTTTTATTACTTACTACCCTACCCTACTATCTTACCCCTTAATTCAGACGTACCGTATTCCTACTAGTATTATGTTCCAGCTTGAGGTTTCCCACGGGCTTGACTACCATATCCTGCAACACTGAGTTTGATTTGTTGAATTTGTTTTCCAGTCTCGCGAACCTTTCTATATACTTATCTGAGTACGTACCTGGATAGGTTACCTGAATAGATACTTAGCCATCAGGTAGCAAGATCACGTGCCATAAAAACTCTGCTTTAAGCACGACTCCATGCGGAGTACCGACCGGACTTGCTCTATTCATCTAAAGACTCTGTCACGTGTACACCCAGACCAGTCTGAAAGGGTCAAATCTATGCAAATTGGGAAGCTGTCACTTCATAAATGAATAGTTTTTATGTTATACAATTCCAACGTCTTTCACTTTTAAGAACATCCGACGCCATGTACCTGTTCCTTCTCATTCTAGCGACCTTTCCGCTATTTTGGGAAGCGGCGTTTGCGGGGCAGAATCCTCGAAACCCTCCGTTCAGCAGGTACGGAAGGGACATCGAAGATTTCCACCTCCGCACGCGAACACACTCTCCATTCTCTTCCTGGCAATCTGAACTTGACCCCCATCATTGTTGTCGCCAGTATTGTCTGTCCCGCACAATCGCGAGCATCCTGCTCTCGATTTGCCCACTTGTGGAAATCAGGATCGAAAATGTCACCCATGATCGGTTTAATTTCTGAAAACTCGCCTTTTGCATCTGTCGAGATGTTTCTATTAAGATCCACTGCTATGCTGGTAATACCTTTGTGGAGTCCGTCGAAGACCGAATCGGCACCCACCAGAGGCAGCATCAGACAGTTCAACTGCTTGACAAAGGATAGATGCCGGTCAAACGATCGCTTCCCAAATTCTTTGGGTGGGGGATCTTCTCTAGCTGTTCGAATCCGGATATCCTGAGCGATTGACTCTATCAAATCTGGTTGCAGTCCAGCTTCGAAGATATTAGCAAGTACAATTCGCAGGTCGTATTCCATTACTCACTGTCTTGCAGACTTTCGCGAAGCAGAATATCGTCATCGAAAGGTGAACCACTGTGGAAAACGACGTCGCTAAGAACCGAAACAAGGACCGCGCGGATCCAAATCGAGTTGCGGTATTCATGGAGCTGGCAGTTCTCAACCTTTTCCTTGATGGTAACACCCTCTGGAACATCCAATAAGTATCGCAACAAGGGGACTATAGGCTTCTTTGATCCCGCTGCTGGATCCAACATCTCGTCCTGGACGCAAGCGTTGTCCCAAATGGGGGTCCGCGCATTGGGCAATATAGACTTCTTAGTCGCTGTAGCGATGTAACTCGTCAACTGTCCCGACATCTGCTTCAGGGAATCACAAAGTACATCATCCTGGAGTTGCTCGTTTCCAAACTTCGGTAGTCTGGTTATGGAGCCATGGACGACTAACCGGCGTATTAGCATAGTAAAAGCTAGATCTTGGCAGCTGTCTTAGAAGCTTGCATATACGCTTCTACGAGCCCCTTAGCTCCCACAGGGGAAAACAGCTTCTTGTACGAGAATAAGCTTACCTGGGCCCAGATAGCCGCTCACCATCTTCGCTTTATGCGCACACTCTGGGCATAGCCAGATTTTAACTGTTCTCTGTTCATCCCGCGCATTACTCAATTGGATACCGCAGTATTTATTGAGGTACTCCGCGTCGAATTGCTTCTTCGCGCAGGCTTCGTCACTGCAGATAATCGTTTCGGGCCGTGCGTTCGAGGAAATCGGCTCGGCCTGTGATCCGGACGCAACGGCGCCATTTGATATACCCGGTGCCGAATTAGGAGCACGAGATTTGACGCCATCAAGGGCTCCAATCCGGGAAGACTGCCGATGGGCATTGTTGATATAAGCCGACTCTGGATCGGCCCCTGTGGTCGCGAGTAAGGCCTCTACTTCTGTTTGTCGTGGCTTGCATGACCTCTTCAGAGACTTGCTTCTGTGCATCTGCATATCTCTGGAAAGATTGTCAGGGTTTTGCTGATTCTCAGGTAATTGCTGATGTTGATCGTCTATGGTGCTGGTAACATCTGACCGCTGGCACTGTTGAGCAACAGCCATGTTCTGCACCTCCGCAATCATTTCCCTCAACCGTCCCCAGCCAGACCTCAAACGACCCGTTTCTTCGAATGCCTCTGGGAGAGCGCGGAAGCGTTCACCTACGTCTACTGCAAGTGCTACACTGACGATCTCCTCTCTGGTGGGCTTTCTAGATTGAGGCGACCGCTTTTGTATCAACTTTCTGCTCTTGGAGCTCTTGTCATTTTCGGACTGCGGTGGGCTGATTGGCGTTGTAGGTGGCTTCCCATGCTCTTGAAGCGCACTTTGACCTGAGTCCTGCGCTTGAGCTTGATTTCTGTCCATGCCGATGAGATCAACCTCGTTTTCTCTCGCGATTGATGTTGGATTTTTGGGGTTGTCCGGGGTTTTATTGCCAAATGGGATCATTGATCCTTTATATGGAATTGCGACCATGAGGCTCGGATTTTTCATGGCGACGAAGTTACCATCCGCCTGGGGATAGCTAAAACGTCGGGCCATGGTTTTTATGGTTTGCCTTTCTGCTTGGACTTTGGTCTTCCTCTATTTATCGGTGAAACTTTTCATGGTGTGAGAGAGTGGAAAATACTTTACGGAGGTACAACTTCCACCCTCTATTCCTAACTGGGAACTCCTAATAAATACAGCCCCTGTAAGGACAGCCTCGATAGGCTTGAAGCTCTATAAGCACTACCTTAAGAGGCTTAGAGGACGCGCCTAAACCTCTATTTTTCTTTTTTCTTTTTTGAATTGTAATAATACTTAACCGCTGTACCTCCGTACAAGGCTCAGCTGCACCAGCGTTACAAGGTATGTTTGTTTGTGTAACCGCCGATCCCGCTTCCAACCCATGAGTGTAGTTTGAATTAGTAGTACTTGTGATATATCTGCGAATCGGATTAGCACTGCATTATCCGCAATGTCCCTGTCAATGCAGGGTCATTAACGCAAAGGCTTTTTCGTCAAAGCCAGCCTTGCTGAATAATGTATCCCTGGGTTTTATTCCTTTTATTTGTTTGGGGGGCTTGAAACTGCGGGCAGATGAGTGGTAATAACCTGCTGCTTCCCGTTCACATGAAACAACAACGGCAGCTTCTGCAGCCTTTCATCGGTGAGCAGATAAGGACGCGCTAACCCCCGATTGTAAGCTTGGTTAGTCGACAGATCAGTTGTGGACTTTTATGTCAACCAGACTTCAAGTAGTCTCTGAAATCCTCTGCAGACTGCGTTACTGCATGTTATCAAAATTAACATTATGTTATCTCAACGAACAAAAGGCACGGCGAGACGCGGCGGCAAAGGTAGGTAACCACTCATCTCACAAAGTTGCTAAACAGCAGCTAATTAGATTGAAGGCGCTTACCAAAAATCGAACTCGCGGCGCACGAAGACCACTCCTGCAGAACCGAAAGTCCAAGCCCATGATCTGCCGCCAAAGAATGTCGTGAGAGGCAGATTGATAGTTGGTATTGACCTCGGGACGACTCGTGACTGCGTTGCGAGCGCAGAGATCCTCAGTCCAGAGTCTACATTCGAAGTCACCATGAATAACTTCTCTGCGGACTCCTACACTAAATATCTTCCATTTCCTCCAACATCGCTGTACTATCATAAAGAGCTGCACTTGCCATTAACCGGCGCAGATGTCAGACACATACTAAAGTCTTCGTCCTCCAGAAGAGACTTTGATTCTGATCGATTGTATCGACTTGTAAGATCCCTAGTGTTCTACTCCTTCTTCATTCAATCCACAAACAATTTGAGGTCTAGAATGCTAACTTCCAGGAAGTGGAAAATCATGTTTCATTCCCATCAGAATGATGATGCCATCAAGGAAGTTCAGATCAATATTCAACGGCAGCTCGATGCTATGGGAAAATCATCATATGATCTCCTGCATGACTGTAAGGATTGAGCTATTTCCTAGTAACTCCTGGGACATTCACCTGCTGCAACGTCATCCTATCGCTTCAGAGCTTTGGGGGTGTGAACGTTAGCTAGGGACCAGGTCCTCCAGAAACTCTCACATCTGAGCGACGCTGCTAACTTTTCATAATCTCGTAGGGGTTGAAGTCAAGTATGAGGAGATTTTTCAAGGCTTGCAACGATTCTACGATCGTTTCGAT